CCCGGAGTGGTATAATTGTAAATTGTAGAATTTAAATAGTATATATACGTAAATACATAAGAATTGGGTGGTAAGTATATAAATTTTTCAAAATTTTTAATTAAAATTCAGTACAGGTAGGCTGCGTTCTTTAAAGCTCTCTAGTTCCCTCTTTTTTAGCAAGGAGCCATAACGAGGGCGGTTTCATGGTTTACCCGCAGAAGAGATGAGTTCTGCTCACTCCCAAATGGTTTCGACCCTCTTCCTCGCCCTCCTCTTCAACTCCTTCCTCTCTCCGACGGCGGCAGATGTTGACGCCGACGCTTCCGCCCTCATGGCTTTCCGCAGCGCCGTCGGACGACTGGCGCTCCCCTGGAACACCTCCGTCTCGCCGTGCAAGTGGCCGGGTGTAATCTGCACTGGAGAGCGCGTCACCTCCCTCCACCTCCCTGCCTCCGGTCTTATCGGCCAAATACCCGCAAGAACACTAGGTAATCTTTCAGACCTCCAAACCCTTTCCCTCCGCTTCAATGCTCTCTCCAGCCCCCTCCCATCCGATCTTTCCAGATGTACCCAGCTCCGGAATCTATACCTCCATGGAAACCGCTTCTCCGGCGATATCCCGGAGTTTCTCCCTTCTCTTACTAGCCTCGTACACCTCAACCTCGCCGACAACAGTTTCTCTGGTGAGATTCCGCTGGCGCTCAATAACCTAACGCGCCTCGGAACACTCTACCTTGAGAGGAACCAACTTATTGGCGAGATCCCGGAACTCGATCTTCCCAATCTGGTGCAGTTCAACGTATCCTTCAACCGGCTTAATGGGTCAGTGCCCTCCAAGCTCCGTGGCATGCCGGCGGACGCTTTTTTGGATATGCCGATCTGTGGTGGCCCGCTTACAGCTTGTCCAGGCGGAGCAGGAAGCTCATCCTCAGGTGGAGGCAAGCTCTCCGGCGGCGCCATTACCGGGATTTCCATTGGCGCATTTGCTGCGTTTTTCATCGTCGTCGCTGTTCTTCTGTTTTTGCTTTGCCGGAGGAAAGGGAAAACCGGTCATGCGAAATCGCTTGAGGTGGAAACTGCTATTGGAAATAAGAAAATGGAGGATGGAGTTCGAGCAAATGGAAAGCCCGCTATGGCTGTCGCCGCTGTTGCGCCGGCGACTTTAGAGTCTCAGAAGCAGCTGGTATTTTTTGGCGATGGGCCTAGGGTTTACGATCTAGGTGATATGCTTAGGGCATCAGCCGAGGTTTTAGGGAAGGGAACGTTTGGAACTACGTACAAGGTGGCGTTGGAGATGGGAATAATAGTGTCTGTGAAACGACTCAGGGATGTTGATATGCCGCAGGAGGAGCTGAAGAGGAAGATGGAGGCCATCGGCGGAATGGACCACCCCAACCTTGTTTCTCTCCGGGCTTATTACTTCAGCAAGGATGAGAAGCTTTTGGTCTATGATTACATGCCGATGGGAAGCCTTTCTTCCCTCCTCCATGGTTAGCTGCTCTTATTTTTGGTTTTTTATACTGTTTTTTTTTTTGGGAAATCATTTACAAGTTAATATTTACTTTTGTATCTACCAAATCTTTTTAATTGATCGGTTCTATCACGGCCGTAACCCTCTGTTTCACCGTTCTATCACAGCTATTTTTATCTGCCACAGAAGTAGTTTCACAGTTTGGATAACGCACAGCCGTGAAATTTCATCTTTATAAAGCTTTTAATTTCTCTTGTTGAAATCAGATTTATCATGAATCACGCCCAAAAAGAGTTTTAGAGATTTATTGGAATATAATATTTCGTATTGGGCTTTTTCTCCTCCCTCTATTACATTTACTGTGCACATATCTACAGAGAACCTATGCCTATTTGTAAAATATGGACAATGCCACTTACATAATTCCTCTCGGTTGGATCTTGCTCGTCTGTCTTGGTGGGGCCATCACCAATGAGTGAGCATTTGACGGGCGCGCTGTCTTCTGATAGCTATCTCTTGGTTCAATTGATTCCAAACTAGTAGACTTTTTGGTCGATCAGTTCCTCCGACCGTTCTGCTGAATAGCCCTTTCCTTCGACCCTTGGTTGCTCGGGTTGACCTGCCTCTTGATTCAGTCAAACTTATTTTTCTTATACATATTCAATTCCCAATTCTCTCACATTAGTTGATTGTGAACTGCAATAAGAACAAGAGAATTAGATTCGGTAGAAAATTAGTCATTATTAAATAACTTTAATAATGAATACTTCTTATACTTTCATGCCCTTAATTGCTTATAAATAGGGGATTGTGTCTTTCCAATTTTGTTTGCTTTGCATTCTCTTTCCTATGTCAACCATTTTTTTGAAGGTTCGTGATGGGCAAGCTTTCGAGGTCCCAAACCACCTTCATAAATGACGTCTTGCTTCATAGATTTTTCGTTCGGGAGAAGGGCAAGAAATGACTTAAAGACGAACAAAGGAAGAAACTTCCGATGAAGACGATTAAATATTCGCCCTTGGGACAGGTCTTCTCTTCTTACACGGTTCTAGGAAGCACCCAATTAGTAATTGCAAACACTCAACTGGTAGCCATCGTCATGTAGCTGACCAATACAACCCAATGTTTGACGACATTATCACGACCTCTCGTTCCACCAAAGGTCGAGTCCCCATGACTCTCATAGGTCTTTTGTCGTTGCAATGACTTCATCTCCAAGAGCCTACGCTGTCCGACGTGCTATGAGCTCTCGGTGTGTATGCATTCTGGATCAATATGACTTAATTTTTGTTTTCAATTAACGATCCCTCATTCCTTAGGTATGGTAGATGGCGAGGCCCAACCGAGTTTACGTGAATCTTTTGCAGCGTCGGTCGAGATCATAAAACATGTGACAAGAGAAGGCAATCAGCTCTCCGACGAGGGTAGCTTGCTCGATCGTACGAAAGATTCCCCACTCCCTCCCGATGTTCACGAGGAAATGATAAACTATATCCGGGTATATCACGTGGGACTGGCTCATCGCTCAGATGAAATTGAGAACTCCTTCATGCGAGAGGCTGGTCAGCGAAACTCAGAGGTGCACATCATTTTGGCCCACATGGCGCAGTTGGAGGTCTCAACCATGAAGCAAATGATGTTCGCACTTTAGGGAGAACTCTTGAGTTTGTAAGAGCGCCCTGAATTCTCCAAACCCAACTCAAATTCGATAGACTAGTTTAGTTTGGGTCAAAGGTGAATTCTTGTTGTGAATGTTGACTTAATGATGCGCCTCTAGTGTGTGTTGTTTTTCTGCGTGTATGTCAATTTAAATACATAGTAACAGTGCCAAGAACTTGACCCATCCCGAAATTACGCAATAATTTAGTTTTTAAAAAATATGACAAAAAACTTGACCCAATTTATATTAAGTAGTTAATGTGGAAAATCAAAATATTTATAAAATATATAAATTAGTTCACACTCTAGTTGTTCTACGCAAGTGCACATATCACTTCAAGTAATATAAGACTTTCTTTAAAAATCCCAGTATCGATCCCACGAAGAAGCGAGGTAAGAAATCCCTTAGGCTAATTCTAGTCCACTACTATAAGCAATTCGTTTGGAAGGTTGATTAAAGTGGTTTTATTTTATGCTAACGAAACTAAGTTTACTAAATTAATTTCTAAACTTTAAATTTAAATTTACTAAAATTAAATAAAATTTTGTGATGAAGAGTTTAAATATAAGAAAGTATCCTTTCCACTACAATGAATTTGTGATTAATGATAGAGATAAATGGTTTGAATTTGTATTGTGTCAAATATGAGCAGTTTTAATTTTTTACCCTCAGTAAAGTGTTATAGAGAATCATTGACTAATCTTTGGTTTAGTCCCTAAATCCGTAATTAGGCTGAGATGATATTGACTCTCACTCCAGAGCTCCCACTTCCTTTCCCCTGAAGGCTAACTCTCGCTTTCGATCCCACGAAGAAGCGAGGTAAGAAATCCCTTAGGCTAATTCTAGTCCACTACTATAAACAATTCATTTGGAAGGTTGATTAAAGTGGTTTTAATGTATGCTAACGAAACTAAGTTTACTAAATTAATTTCTAAACTTTAAATTTAAATTTACTAAGACTAAACAAAGTTTTGTGTCGAAGAGTTCAAATTTAAGAAAGTATTTTTTCCACTACAATAAATTTGTGGTTAATGATAGAGATAAATTGTTTGAATTTGTATTGTGTCAAATAGGAGCAGTTTTAATTTTCTACCCTCGGTAAAGTGTTATAGAGAATCATTAGTCCCTAAATCTGTGATTAAGCAGAGAGGATACTGACTCTCACTTCAGAGCTCCCACTTACCTTCCCCTGAAAGCTAACTCTCGCTTTAGTTTTTAAACACTAAGACCAAATTGAAGATTTTAGATTTTAGTCATTTTAGTCTGTCACCCTAGAATCTCTAATTCTTCGTCCAGTAATATATATATTTCTTTATTTACTTGGACCCAATTCCATGAATGAAACACTCCTTCATTGAATCAAATGCGATTCTCACTTTGTTGTTAAGTCATACTCTATTTCCCGGATAGTATGTTTCAGAACACATGTTAACATTTCAATTGGCCAAATCGAAAAGTAAATTAAGAACGGAGTGAAAAAATCATCATAATTATTTAACATTTAAATGACACATCCAAATTAACTCTTCATTTCATCACAGGGAGACAAACAAAGAAGACTACTCAGAATTCATGAGAAATATACGACAAAACACGGATTATATATATATAAACAAGTTTACAAAATAAATAAATGAAAGAACACAACTTATCTTAAATTCCTCCTCAAGCAAATCCCTTAAAGTTCCTTTGACGCACTTTCTCTCTTTACAATCAACACTGAATTCTCTCTTAGAAATGTAATAGAGAATAAACCTCTCACCTTCCCTCTAATCTTACAATTCTTCATGAAAATCCTCTCTACAAACAAGACTTTACTCTACACTTACACACACGCACACACGCACACGCGCACACACACGAGAGGTACCAACTTCTCTCTTTTTAAAAAGGCACAAAATCCCTTCTTTCCCAAGAGCTTCACTTCAAAAGACACACTTCTTCACTTCAATTGTGTAGATTCATTGAATCACTATAAGAGACACATCTCTTCATTTAAAAACTACTTATTAACTCCAAGAGATACATCCCTTCATTTAAGAACCTTTCCAAGTGTCTAGATGCATTGAATCACTTCATGGGATGTTTGAATCACTTAGGTGCCTTTTAGAGTATCAAAAACCGCCAAAAATCTGTCCATAATCATCCCGGGCGCCATCGCCGCCGGTTTTGGCGCTTTCGACGTTATTTTTCGTCGCTTCTCTGGACTCGGGCGCCGTCGGCACTGGTCTGGGCTCTGTCGGCGCCGGTCTGCAGCAGCTCCACTGTTTCGCTCAGTTTTGCTTTGTTTCAGCTCCGTTTCGCTTCGTTTCAGCTCCGTTTCGCTTCGTTTCAGCTCTGTTTCGCCCCGTTTTAGTTGCGTTTCGTTCTCAACATTCCCAACAGATAGAACTACAAAATAAACATGAAAAAAAACCTTTCTTTAAAATGTAAGTTCATTCAAAAACATGTGAGAAGTGAGAAATAGAT